AAACGCAAAAATTGCATGTCGAATATTTTTTAGTTATAGAATGAAAGCCATTCAGGTTGTATGCATTACCCTTTTCTACCCTTTTTTACTATTTCTTTTTAAGCATTGTCGATTTCTTTTATTCGTCGCGCCGATTAGAGTAGAGATTTTTACAGCCGCGCATATAAAGCACAAAACACGCAATCTATAACTGAGTTGAATTTTGTGAATGAACAATGGCACTGGGGGATTTAATAATCGTTTTGTCTCCAGAACTATATACCATCTATTAGAGCAAAAGAATATTTTGCGTGTGTGCTTCTAAAATCTTTTTGTTCGAACAATATATATAATCGCGCGAATTTCGTATTTTAAAATTTTTTGAAACACACACCTGACGTGGAAAATAAGTTATTACTGCTTCGCTATAGGACACAATCGTTCTTCAAAATTTATTCTAATTTATACGGCAATTGTACACATGTGACCGCAATATCGTCACGAGAAGTAAATAACTACTTATTTTCCCGTGATTTTTTGAACTTTTTTTTTCGTACGCCGAACGATATTTCAATAAAAATGTTAATTAGTCTAGGTTATTGAATCTAATCTTTAGATGCTTTTTTTATTTGCTTGTGCACATGTTGCCTTTTGAAGATTACGCGCAAAAGGAATCCTTTTTTTTTATAAATTCGCTTAGAAGAAGAATAGAGAGGAATAATTGGAATCAGGTGTTAAATATTAAACAATGATTTTCTTTTTGAATTGACTTTAATGTTCTGATTTTATACTATATGAATATAGTGATTATGAGTGTGATTTTATACATCTGGTACTAATAACTAATAAAGTAGACTTAAAAACTTCACTAGGGGATTAGAACTCATCCTTCTTGTTAGAGTATCAAAATTTTTTTCAAAGTTTAGCAGTCTTTTCGCAGTATTTTATTTATATTGTACGGAAAGAAGAGACTTCAACATTAAAATGTTGAATGAGATCGGTTATCTCTTAGTTTTGATTTAAAAGCTTTCTAATAATCCCCTTATTGAATGGAGTGGCTTAGCATTTTTTTCAATGAATAAAAACTCTTTTGCTACAGTTGCCAACACGAATTATGTCTTCATAAGGCGTCATAAGTCTTTATAATAATATCTAGACTCCTTGGAAAAAAATATATAAATCTCGCTGTAAATGATGTCCATCCGTCCAATTAGCTTCTTAATTCTTGAATACAGTTACTAAACAAGGATTATTTTTAACTATCAATCATGCACTAAATTACAAAATTTGTTTTATAAAAAAAAAGTATTTAAAAATTATTGCTACAGATTTAATGTTTTGTTTTTTCTCTTCGGTTTATAATTATATAGTTGCAGAACTAATGTATGTTATTCATGCTGCAATAACAATTCTATTCGGAAGTTCATATATTTATAAAAATACATATGTGGTTTCCGTTCACCATAAATGTTTCAATAGCTCTCTCTCGTCGTTAAAATTAGTAGGTCTTTAGATTGAGTTTTAGACAATAGAACACATCGATAGTTCCATATTGAAGTACACAAGCTCAGGACCAGTTGAGACAAACTTATAATTTTCTTCAACCTATATCCGTTTTATATTTCCTGTTAACTGTAAAAGAGTTTATGTTGACTTAGGTAAAATTTGACGGTTTAAAATATCGATCTTCATCACCGTTAACGTCTTCATTATATACCTTAATTAACGAAAATAAGTTCAGTTTAGCAAAGTTTAGAACAGTTTTATCTTGTACCCTGCGGTATTATAATGAGCACCCAATTTTGTTATAAACATCCGAATGTCTTTTTTCAGGTAATAAAAAATACACTGTTAACCTGTAGTTGTAGTTAAAAGTAACAAATTGCAATAGTTGGATAAAAAATGTTTGATGCAGTTGTGCCTACAATTTTTCCCATTGATTTCTAATATCGAAACTGCGGTATTATATGGCATAATAATGAAAGATTTGATCTTTGTGTGTGCGAACCAAATTTTTCAGGTCGCCTAATCTAATAAAGCAATTAAGTTAATGCTGTCGGAAGGAGGTTGTTATTATATCCCCTTTAATTATATGGAGCTTCAAGATCGAATCAGTCTTTGCGTTATTTGATTACCGAATTAAGCGCTTATAAACCAACAAAGGGGAGGAGTCGTTTCGTTTCGGACACAGTTGGACCTTGAACCGTGCAAATTTACGAGCATCTTTCCTCTGGACCTCTCGCCATATATAATATATATTATATGTGAATCAGACTTTATAGAAAAATTGTTAAATTTCGCCAGGATTTTAATATCTTAATTCTGATCCATTTAGTGACAAAGTATTAGTTTAAAAACAATACGAATTTTCGTTGTAGATACACGAAATGTTTCTGTAAGACACGTGACGTAACAAATCTTATTTTGCAATTTTCGGCACGTGCCAATAATTAGTTCGGAGCAAAATTTCCATCAGACCTCGGGCGTTTATTCCATTTTTAAAAAAGAGGTTAAATTATTTTTTAATCTTTATAAAAAACAAAACTTACTAGAGCAAAAATAGTAAAAATAATTGTTTAATGCTGTATTGTTGTATAGTTATTATTGTATTGTATGAAATTTTCACTTACGAAGAACGTATATGTAATACCTACACATACCCGAGTCAATTAACGTGCGGCTGTTCAACGTGAGTAAAATTTTGATAGCGTTAATATGGCGCGAAATATATTGCTCTACTCTGACAAACAGCTCGTTTAGATCGTTTACAAGGCGGCGCGCTGCCTAAAAAGAAAACAACTGAGGATAAGAATCGTATTCATAGTCCAGTTAAGGTTATGACAACCATCACTCGGTTAGCAATTATGGGATTACGTTATAACGCTAAAGGTGGTAAAATGTTGGCAGGGTCACAGTCTCACCCTCATCTGTAACAAGCTGTGAACGTGGGCGGACGTTAGAATGAGCCGCTTCATTCTCTGACGGGATAATATTCTTCTCTGCATGTTCCCTCTACTTGCCGCATATCAAAATATGTAGTGTGTTTATAAACGCGCGCGAATACTATTCCAAAAGTCTCCGAAACGAAACGTTCGAACCTGTAACATTTGAATACGTTTATCCTCTAAATAAGCTACAACATCCAAAATTTTATCTTCCGACCGGATCTGTAACATATCCGAACTTCTTATTCTATCATCTGATAACCTTATTCATTATTCGAACTTCTATCTTCTGAATCTTTATCATCCGAACCTATAACATTAGAACCTTTTTCTTCCGAATCTGTAACATCCGAACTTCTATCTTTCGAACCTGTGACACTCGCCGCGAACTTTTGTTTTTCGAATCTGTATCATCCGAACCTCCATCATCCAAACGCTTTTATGTTCTGAATCTGTATCATCCGAAATTTTATCTTCCGAATTTGTATCATCCGAACTTTTATCTTCTGAATCTGTATATTATCTGAACCTCCATCATTCGAACTTCTATCTTCTGAATCTTTATCATCTGAACCTGCAGCATCCGAACTTTTATTTTCCGAATCATCATCATTCGAACTTTTATCTTCTAAACCTGCGACATCCGAACTTTTATCTTTCCGATTAGAGAATCGGAAAAATTACACAACGATAAAAGTTCCGATAAAATAATTTATGATTGAGGTTCGGATGATCTGAGATCATCCGAACCTCAATCATAAATTATTTTATCGCAACTTTTATTCACTATTTAAAAATAAAAACTTGTGGTTATTTTTGTTGCAACTCGTTTATCGAAATTGAAATTAAAAAAAGAATATGCTTCTATTTTTTATTGCGAACATTTTTAGTTAAACATACAAACAATTATTAAGTCTCTATTAAAGACATGAGACCACAGACGTGGACCACCCGCTGTTATATATACTCTTTCGGTAATTATACATATTGTTTTCTGGTGTTTAATTCAGGAATAGGAAAGGCGAACATTTACACTTAATTGTTTTTCACTTCAATGTCCATGTGTATCATTAAAGTTGCTCCCTAACTCTATCATTACCCCATTAGGCGTGAACATTTACTCAACATATTATACAATTTGTTACGTCTCAAACTCAGGAGATGATAGTTGCGAATCCCGTTTATAGCAAAAAGCGTAAAGAAAGTTAATACTCAATTGAAACTTATTATTTTTGTTATTAAAATAAGTTCTTACTTTCTTTCTTTCTTCTTCTTTTTTTTCTTTTTCTACTTCTTTATTCAAAAATGATGTCTTTTTAAATTTTAGATTATTTGATTTAAATTTTTTCTATTTGGTATGAGCATTAGACAAAGTTAATGCTTGCATAAATGAAGAAAAAAAGGGCAGGGTTAAAATTATTGCGTGCGAAGTGTCTGCGCTTTTGATGCAGTTTGACGGTTACGCAGGACATACGAGTAAACTTTTATATTTGATTTGTGACTGAGAAAGAACGGTTGTCCGTAATGAGCGTTACGCCTCTTCCTCAATATCTGTCTGCTGCTTTAATGTCCACAGCGTGACTTATAATGCGACCCGTGAAATGGATATGACTGCGGTGGTTATAAAAATGTTTCACTACTTGACAGCTCACTTTGTAAATGAGAGGAGAATTTCTTCGGCAACTCTTATCACATAATGTCAAAAGAACATTTACTCAAAATTTTCTAAATCTTATCATGTAAGGTCAAGAGGAAACTCTTGTTAAATATTTTCGAACCATTTTTAGCCCTTACTCTCTACAATCTCTATTATTGTTATTGCTTTTATATTTTCTAATAGCATATAGCTATTTCAGGATCATATACGAACGTCGTATGTATAGTAATTCTAGAAATTAGGATCTTGAGTCACATGCTGTTAATTTTTTACAATATTTTGTAAATTTTGAAACGATTGTCTTGCCGTGTAGTTTCTTTCTTTGTTAACTTTTGACAATATGCTTCTTTAAATCAAGATTTGTCTCTTCAAATGAAAGTTACAAGAGTTCTGATAAAACTTTTTTTTGTCTTTTTCAGGTACGAAGTTTGATCATAATTTGGTGAATTTGGTCCAGATGGGGACAGGAAGCCGTATAACACGGGACAGCGATAAAAGCCTTTAGGCACCTGCTGGATCGCACAGATGCTCTCCGCTTGATTATACAAATGAGCTTCTCACTGAATCCACCCGCTTCTCACACACGAATAAAGGTACGCGCAATATAGTCCCAATATCCATATAACGACACTTGTGCACATAAAAAACTCAAAAATCGTGTACTCTCTTGCCTAATTTTCCATAAATAATAACCTCGAAGAATTTTTTGAATATGCTTCTTTTATAATTACTCAATAAGACCCTGTGCGCAGTTGTTTATGAAAAATATTCAGAGGATAGAACATCCATTTATATAACATTCCACGGCATCTAAATATAATCCTGATGTTTTGAATTATATAGACAAGAATTAATACTCAACAGTGAAACTCGAAATAAGAAAATTCCCTCTCTCTCTCTTTCTCTCTAAATTAGAAAACAAAACTGAACATATAAAATGTAAACTAACTGAAAATGGTCAGCACGCTAACCAACTGTCATTTTCTCGAAGCGTGGCTGGCACGTGCACGCATCTTTTCTCTCTTCGAGAACTCCAAATATGATTTTCCTATTAAATTTTTTTTTCTTCGTTTTAAGAGAATGCAACCTCTTTAAACAAGGAATACGCCTTTCGACATATAGAGTGAAACTCATCCTATTGCTATGATGTGCCATTTTAGGAGTCACAGTTGGTTATAACTCTCTCACTCCCCGGGGAACATTTTATAAAACATATATATAAGCATATAGAGCTTTTGAAAAAAGTACAGACAAGCGATGATTGATCATTCTCAGAACCCTTTTAAATTTTTAGGGCAAACTTGAAAATTTGTTTCTTTCCCTTTTATTTCACGCGATTTCTCGACAGAGGACAATTTTCTGAATACAATAGTGAGGTTAATAAAGTTGTCAAAATTTTCGAAATGTAGAGCTGAGTTTTTTGATTTTTCTGAGAAATTGGATTTTTTATGATCTATAGTTCTTTGTGTGGAAAAAATATATTTTGTGAAAAATATATGATGATATTTTGGAATATTCTCTATGCGATTATTTCTGGAGAAAAATATAATAGGTGTGAGCTAATTCCTCTTCTTTGTGAAAGATGTTAAAATATAAACTTTATAAATTCTTTTCTTCTTTATTCTTAATTTCAGAATATGTAGAAAAATAGGAGAAGAATTTTTCTATTTTTTGTCACAGTTAAAAAGAAAGGCTTATTTTAGGCTAAATAGTACAACAAATGGCAACAATGTTGTATCAATGTTGTATGTGTTATTTTTAAAATTGCTAAATTTTGTTGACCAGCAAGCTTTAAAATTATTGAAAAGATTTAATTTAATTTTAATTCTTTCTATAATTAAACTTTGTCGATTTAAAAGTGAATGTTTATTTTAAATAATTTAATTCATGGAAATCATTCGAAAAATTATTATTTATAAATTATTTTGCGAATAATTTTCTTTGGAAATTCAAGAAATACCTATACATAATTGAATTTTAAAAAAGTTGCGCTTTCAATTTTTATAAATAAAATTTAATTTTTTATTTTCAACCACCAACTTGAATTTTTTTGAATAATTTCAGATTCGAAATTTAAAACCATTTAACTTTAATAAAATTCTTTAAAATAATTCAATTATTTTCAATACAATTTTCATTAAATTCTGTCGAAAAAAATTTGCAAGAATTCAATTATATTTTTATACAACAATAAAATTCTTTACAGAAATTCAATTATTTTTAATATAATTTTAATAAAATTACTCTAAAGAATTCAATTATTTTCATCAAAATTTCATCAAAAGTATAGCAAAATTTTTGTAGTAAAAATTAAATTTGTAGAGGAAATAAATAAATTCTGTTCACTTTGAGGTTTAAAAATAAAAAATAGAATTAAGTCATTACATAGTTATTTTTTTCTAATTGCTGAAGCAAAAAGTGAGCCAAGATTTCACTAACAATTAGTAATTTTTAACTAATTTAGATTTAGAGAGTCAACTTTAATATTAGTTCATTTTGAAACTTAATTGTTTAAGCTTTAAGTACTTTAGGACTTTGTTTTTTTTCACTTTATCTGCGAAATAAGACATTTCCGCTTTTAAATGTGGTAAAAACAAAAATTCTGCAGGTTATTATACTGTTAGTTGAAATTTCTATTGTTTCTTAAAGTGTTTGCGTGAAAAAAAGTTTCGTGATAAAATCCTAAGTCAAAACGTGACTCAGGATTTTTTGCTCGAGACTTTTAATCTCGAATTTAGACTAAATTAGAAAAAAGGGATTCGGATTATCCTTTTTCTCAGCTTCTGCGCACAAATTTATGAGTTGCATGGTATATGGCAGATCAGAGTGGCGCCCATTCGCCGGCCCTTTATGAACTGACCGAAACTTTTCCGGTTTGTCATACTTGAGTTTTCATTATATTTTTCAAATTTCAACTCAGTGAGTGTTGAGTATTATAGACACTCCTTCTTTATATAGGTTGTAACGAATTCTTTAAAAATATATGTAGAACGAAACAATTCAGTGAATCAATTTTTAAACATTTCATATTTTCATCTTGAAAATTATATTTTGGTGAAAAATATTCTGTTTTATTTTATCGAGAAGAAATTTTATAATTTAATTTTTAATAATTTTAATTTTCTTTATTCTAAATTCTTCGTGACAAATTTTACCTTATAATTCTCTACTGAGCGTTCAAATTAACAATATTTGGTTATTTCGCTTCAAATTAAAATTTTGTTTGAATTTAATTCAAATTAGAATTTCTCTCTAAATTTGAATTAGTAAAAATGTTTACTAATTTGAATTAGTGACTGACTTTTTGCTTTTGAATTATTAAATTTTACTAGTAAATAGTAATGTCTACTAAATTATTAGTAAAATTTACTAATTCAATAGAAAAAAGTCATCAGTCACTAATTCAAATTAGTAAATAGTTTTACTTATTCAAATTTAGAGAGTAGAAAATAATTAAGTATTACTAGAAAAGAACTAATAATTATAGTAGAAATTATAGTATTTTATGCAGAAACTATCAAATGAGTTACTTACAATAAATTAAAATTTAGAGTGACTTATTTTTTACTATAAAATTAGTTATTTCCAACTAATTAAAATTTAGATAGAGAGTAAATATTTTGCTAATAATCAGTTATTTTTAACATAGTTCAAATTTAGAGAGTAAAAATAATTATGTCTTTTATTTTTTCATTATTTAAAAATTTTTTTATTTACATTCTTCATGGATTATTTCATTGAAAACAAAAGTGGGAAAGGAGAATTTTTGTGTCTTCAATTAAGAAAGTAATCAGCTCCTATTGCGGACTCTCTTAGGATTGTTGTCTTATTTATATTTTTGGCTTCAATATTTGGTTTCTTTAAACCGTGTGTACTTCGGCAGCCGCCAATACGTAATTGGTCGTTACGGTTGGTCAAGAAACGATTTTTTCCCCATTTTTTTTTTTTTTTTTTTTTATTTGGGAGCACTGTTGCGCTTATTTTTCTGGCACTAATATTAGAAGGCGGCAACGGGCACGTATTTAGACGGGCGGCTTGTTTTTATCGCTCTTCTCTCTTCGGCAACTTTGTCGGCGGTCAAAAAACTTCGTCAAGACCACCCCCCATCAAATATTGTTGAGGGGTGGCCTTATAACGTCTGGCGACAGTGATTTTATGGTTCCCATACTATATACTGATTGAAAGAAAACCAGAATCAGAAATAAATGTCAAATTTTGAGTGAAAGAAGAAGAGTAAGATAAGAAATGTATTTTTTTGAAAATGGAAATTTGAAACTGATTTCAAATATGGTTTAAATTTAATTTATTTATTAGTATAATTGATTAATTTATTAAAATATCGCTGAGTGAGCAATTGGATTAATACTATTTAATTTATTAATAATTAATAATAATAAAATAAATTTACTAATAATTAATAATAATAATGAAATAAATTTATTAAACTAATAAAGAAAGTTGAATTAAAAAAATTTCCTTGAAATTCTCAACGTTCAAATAAACGAAATTTTAACTTAAAACAGAAGTACTCAAAATATATCGTTGTTCTTATTTTGAACGTTCGAAAATTTTAGGAATAAAAAAATTAATAAGTTTTATTAACTTATATTTGAAAAATATTTCATAAGGGGAAAAATTTGAATTTTCTTAGCAAACGGAAAGAAGAAATATTCATTTATTATTTTAGTGTATCATCATTTTTTAAAAGCTGTCCGCCCTCTTTTCCGCATTCTACATCAACAAAACTTTATTTTCCTTTTTCTTCTTCTTCATCTTGTAATTATCGCTAATGATTTTCTGCGATGACTCAAAATTGATTCATGAAATACGGGACTAATTTTCCATAAATCTAAATACATTGGTATTTCGATTCATGTTCTCAGAAAAAAATTATTTCTGTAAACAAAAATTTTTGTTGAATCAAAGTTCAAATCAATGAAATTCTTTTTGTCTGATTGAATTTTTTTTTCTACTCTCTAAATTTGAATTAGTAAAAATGTTTACTAACTTGAATTAGTGACTGACTTTTTGCTTTTGAATTATTAAATTTTACTAATAAATTGTTAGAAATTACTATTTATTAACAAAATTAAGTAATTCAGAAGCAAAAATTTAGTCACTAATTTAAATAAAGTAAACATTTTTACTAATTCAAAATTACAGAATAGTAGTATCTTTGATTTTTTTTTGAAAATTGTTAGAGTATAGACATGACCCAGACACACTGGCATATAGTTCATGTACACACAATATATTCACGCAGTATATATAAGTATTATATTGCACGATCCTGGATCTATATATATTACCTTTCCAATCTTGTACACATAGAATGCGCACTAGACCGTTCGAGTATCAAATATCAAAAAGTTAACAAAACAACGCGTAAAAGGACTTTGAGAATCATCAAAGATCATCGTTAAAATATATATCAAAAGAATAAACCCTCGTCAAAAACTCTGTTCCAATTAAATTACGTAATGGTATGTATATTCTACTTATTCGTCTGTAAATGATTTTATTCGATGTTTAAGGATGTTAGAATTAATAGAAACACTCTAAATTCACACTTCATCACTTTTTCACATCTATT